CTGTGGCTTGCACGCATTAAATTTGGAGTAAAACAATTCCCCTTTCCCTATACCATGAAGATTTCCTGCTATCCTTGGAATATCTAAATTCATACACTAGATTTTTACTTATTTAATTTTACACTTTTACCTATTTATTTTATTTTTACAACAATTAATATATTACAGAATGTCTTTATATACAACATTCACAGCTTTCTTGTCATTAGTGAATGCGTAGTACAGTGATTGCCTCACTGATACGTTGTCGTGCTGAAAAGCACGTTTTTATTAAGTATATTGTTATTTTCCTCGCTAGAGAGCTCCGATAATAAACGCGTCCGATCGCTGCTAAATTCAAAGTGCTATAGGGAGAACTGCGGCCTCTGACATGCTATTAATAGGCCCGCTGCTCCGGCCGGCCGGTACCGTCGCAAACGCTATGTCCCGCAATTTTTTAATCTGTAGACCATACAATACTTAGTACATTATTTTGATAAATCTCGTAGGGTTCAGCCTGTGTTTGCAATGCAAGCGGAAAAAATGTAATTATTTACGACATCACATTAGAAACCTCAAAAATAACAGTATTTCTCCACTATTTAATGGATGTTATTATACATATAAACCTTCCTCTTCAGTCACTCTATCTATTAAAAAAAACCGCATCAAAATCCGTAGCGTAGTTTTAAAGATTTAAGCATACGTAGGGATATAGGGACAGAGAAAGCGACTTTGTTTTATACTATGTAGTGATATACACTCATGTCCATAAATTAAGGATAATTCGGAGTCACGCAGAAATCGAACTCTAAAATAAATATATCACCTGTAAAATCACTACACACAACTTCAAGAATCATATGCAAATTTCAGGAAGTAACCAGATGACACCGATGGTACGTCACAATGACGAGAGTGTAAGAGAGTGATATATAAGAAATACAGGCAAAGAAGTAAAATTGTTTGCAGGCGCTTTATAAGCATTTCAGTGCAATAACCGAGTAGTTATGACACAAAGGACGCATTTGGATGATTTTTTTCATGGTAGAATTATCGGCCGTCTGAAATGTGGGCGTACTCAACTGGAAGTATCAGACGAACTTGGAATTGCCCAGAGTGTCATCTCCAGGCTTTGGCAACGATTTCAAGATGATGGTAATGTAAGTAGACGTTACGGTGCAGGTCGCCCCAGAGTTACAACACCGAATGAGGACCAGTATTTGGGAGTTACTGCCAAAAGAAACAGGCTGAGCACAGCTTCAGCCACTAGTACGACAATTTCAAGGCAAACCGTGTACAGATGCTTAGGGCAGATTGGTCTATATGCTCGTAGACCTGCCAGATGCGTTCCACTTACTGCAACTCACTGTCACCTGCGGTTAGCCTGGAGTAGAGAGCATGCATTGTGGACACCACAGCAGTGGGCTTGTGTGATGTTTTCCGACGAGTCCAGGTTTAGCTTGCAGTCTGATTCTCGCCGGACTTTCATATGGAGAGCTCCAGGGACACATTACCAACAGGAAAACATCTTTGAACGACACCATTACGGTGGTGCAGGAGTGCTCGTTTGGGGTGCAATTATTCTGGGTTGCAGAACTGACTTGCATGTTCAAATTGGAACCATGGAAAGCCAAATCTATCGGGACGTCATTCTGGAACAACATGTAAGTTTGTTTCAGGGCGCACAATTTGTGTTTATGGATGACAACGCCCGTCGTCACCGTGCAAACATCGTAAGCGAATGCCTTCAATCGGAGGATATCACCCGTATGGACTGGCCAGCATTCTCACCGGACTTGAATCCAGTAGAGCACGTGTGGGACATGCTTGGCCGACGAGTTGCAGCCCGTCAACCTCCTCCTACGTGTCTACCGGAACTTCGGAGAGCATTGCTTTTTTAGTGGTGTAATATCCCCCAAGATTAGATTGATAATTTGATACTCAGCATGCCTAGGCATTGTACGGACTGTATTGCATCGTCTGGGAGACATACAATGTATTAACAATCATACCAACCATGTAATATTGTTTTTTTGTAAATAGTTTTTTTTTTTTTTTTTTTTTTTTTTTTTTTTTTTTTGTAATTTGCTCCAGGGAGAAAAAATTGCTAATTTTTTTAATAATATCAAACATATAGTACCTTTTTTTGCTCTTTACCTTTTGTTTAATAATTAAGCTTTACAAATCAGTCAAATTTGTTTTGCTTCTAACTCTTCCTTTGCCTGATTTTGTATTATCCTTAATTTATGGGCATGAGTGTATTTGGTAGGGCTAATTGCAACAAAAAAAAGGAGGTGAACAACTAGATGTTATTGCAGTGCCTACAAAATTTCAACATTAGTAAGGCTACTTGTTTTTGAGCTATGTGAGATACATACATACAGATGTCGCACAAAAAAAAAAAAAAAAAAAAAAACTTCCAAATCCATTTTATAGGCTGTTTAAAAAAAAAAAAAGAGAGAGAGAGAGAGACTTTCTGCCTCTACATACATATGTCACACAAAAGCATCATTCAAATGGATTTGAGAGGGGTCAAAGTGGATATTTTTGTTGAAATATGATAACTGAAATTTTTCGCGATTACAGTACTTCCTTTACTTCATACAAAGAAGTGAAAAAGCTTCTCATTGGGAAAGGAACATTTATAAGAGAGTAATCCTCATAAAAAATGAAAAAAAAATAAAATAAAATAATTGCTGCTTTCAAGAAGGAGTGTCTGATATTGGCAATGCATGAACAGGTGCTAGCTGATAGCCAAATACTTATTATTACAGAGTTTTCTTCTCTCACCATTGCCGCATCCCCCAAAAATGTTCTCATAGACTTTTTTTTTTTTTTCAACTTAATGTTGAAAGAATTTTTTAGTTGAATAGTTGTATAGATTTTTTGGAATGTATTAGATTCAAACCAAATACTGTAGAATCTTGATAATCAAACTAAATAATGAAATGAACTTTTCATTCTTTGCTTTATCGTATATATTTTAAAATAATCATCCAAGTATAATTTTTTCAGAATCCCGAATGTTATTTATCCATCCTTTTTCTAAAGTGTTCAATTATTTAACTTTTTTTTTATTATTATTATTGAATTGAATCCTGCCTTACATCATTGGTGAGGTTAAATATTGGAAAAAAAAGTAATACCTCATTGCTGAGTGATTAGAGGGGGAAATTTCCCTTGTTCCAAAGCAATGATTTTCTTTCTTCTTTGCTTTTCCTTGCCTATGGACTGAAAATATAAAATTAAATTTAAAATTGTATAATTTAAATAACTGCACAAAATGTTAAAAAAAATATATTTGATGATTGTCAGTTGTAGCATCTCTAAAGTTTTGGTTTCTTCATATTAATGTAGGTACACGTAGATAGATGATTACTTGTCTAAACTTATACGTTAATGAAAATAGTTATACGCTATAGGCGTATTTATTTCTTCCTTGTGATTTCTTTCAAAAAAAAGTATTTTTCGTTGCATATTTTGTCATAAGACTACATACAAAGTATAATTCAAATAGCATGCAAAATATTTAATTGACAATTCAGTTTAGGTTATTAATAAGCTTTCAGGGCTTTAATACTTGGATAATTTGAGAGGCAATTGTATTATTTTATTATTTATACTTTTTCTAAACTTCAAAAAAGAGCAGGAATAATGTCTAAACTTTAAAAATTTAATTGCATTTAATGGTGAAGATTTAATTTCATCATGGGAAACAAATAATATTATTTTTATTTATGTATTTAGCAGTAGAATTCCCTCTGAAGTGTGTTAGTCTGTAATCTAAAGCATTAGGATTGCAATATTCTTTTAATCGCAGCATATGATGCACTTAGTATATTTAATAAACTATGTTTTTTGTAATTGAAGTGTATATGTATGTGTGTGTACAGTCAAAAGTCTTTAATCCGGACTCGTCGGGATTTTCGGCGATTCCGGATTATAGATCATCAGTTTAAATCTGGTAAGATGGCATGCAGAAATTATAAAATTAAAAATATGAAACCATAATTTATGAAATAAAGAACAATTATGAGCTAAAGGGTATCAAAATTTACAAAAAAAAAAGCTTAATATTTATTTGTTTACTTAATTTAACATTTCTTTCAATGTAAGTTGTTTAAGTTGCTTCGTTTTATATGATAATACTTTCTCTTTAATTCTATAAACAGGCATAATTTCTTGTTAAGTTACAAAGGTTTGCTGTTCAAGTCCTATAATTGCTGTGTCGAGAATACCGACTAATTTGACAATCGAAATTTTTTCGTTTTGAATAACTTCTGTGTCATTTTCTTCACTATCGGAAGCGAATTATAATGACGAGGAATTTGATTTAAATCATATCAAAGACAGAGTACATCGAGATGAAATACTACATTTAGTAAGTAATCATAAGCCAAATAAAATAAAAACATCTGCCTCTAAGATAAGATAAGGATAGTGCTGACAGATCAACTTCCAGTTCATTGCGCGCCGTGATGCCCCCCCCCCCCCCGCAGAGCAGCGTGAATTGGTAAACAGATTTCGGAATGGTTAGAGAAACAAAAGGTATGCTTTTATCCATTTTTTGCAGCAATTCCACTTTTTTTTTAATTTACATCGAAACATACTTTCACTTTGTAGATCCTTAGGCAGCTCCAGCATTGGAAATTCTATTTGACATAATCGAAAGTTCAAGCTTACTTTTATAAAATTGCTCTAACTGTCTGCAAAAAATAATAAGCCAGATCCAATTCGAAGATTAAGGAACAATGCAATCTGCAACATTAACTGAAATAGATAATTAGATAATTTTAGCTTAGCTTATACCGTCCGTTATATATTAAACACGCATGCGTAAATGTATTATGCGCATGCTTCAACGCATTAATCGTTGATGCATGCGCAGAAAGTTTGTAGTTTTGAGGTCCGGATTATAGATCATTCCGGATTATGGGTGTCCAGATTAACGATTTTTGACTGTACATAGAAAGAGACATAGGTACATACGTTCATACTTAATAGCAAAACTATTATAGGGAACATCTTGTTAGGAAGTGGAACTCTGAGTGGAGAAATTAAAATAACTGATTTTGGTTTAAGTAAAATAATGGATGATGAAAGTTATGTACCTGAAATAGGAATGGACCTTACCTCTCAAGGTGCTGGAACGTATTGGTAAGATAATTTAATTTCTGTTCTTTTCAGCATTAATGTCCGTATGTTATCAGTCCTATTATTGTCCTAACTAATTTTCTTAACCTTTCAACACGCGCACTTGGCAATTTTACATGAGCACGCGTGCGTCGTATTTTTTACGACATGTGTTATTTTACCATTATTAGCACAAAAAATGACAGAAATGCGTGATTATTGATAATAAACTTTTTAAAACATGAAATATTAACCTTCTTATTGCAAAATACAAATGATGTCACATTCAAATGATAGTAAATTATTTTTAAACGTTTATGCAATGATGTGTCAAGTGGAAAAGCAATGATGTGTTTTATTACAGAAATTTAAAAATTTATTATTTAATAACTATATTTTAAAATCCAAGCTAGTTTTATTATTCATCTGTCCTGTCCTGTTGATTTATCATCGAATCGAAGACAACTTGTCAGCAGTAAAAATTTCTTGTAGCCCATCACAGCTCTTGTTATTTCAATTCCAGTACCATCACTTGAGAACAATTCTTTTGCTTTTACATTATGACCTCTTTTTATTCCTATGATATATAATAATCCAAAGTAGGCCATCATTCCCACTCAGGTAACAGTGCATTCTCTATCTCTTGAGTATTTTGCCTTTTAGTAAACTTATATATTTATTTGTACATTCCAAAATTTCATCAAGCATATTTATATCAACTATTTTTCAAAAATGTTCCTATTTCATCCTTTATATACTTAGCATGGTGTTTTAGGCCTGGTTATGCTCACAATATTCACCTTATTCGTCTTTGAGCAATTTGCATACTTCTGATTTTGCCATTTAGAAGATTTATCCTTACTAACATAGAATATATATCATCCTTCCATTTTTCTATATCATTATTACTATCATCATCTGAAAAATATTGTTCAGATTTACTGATATTATTTATCTCTATAATTTCCTCACTCAGATCACTATTATTCTCGCATCCAAAAGTCTCTTTGTCTTCTTCATCACATAATTCTTGAAAAATGCGAGCAACATCAGCTGGTTGCACATATTTTTTTGCCATGAAAACCGATATAAAAATCATAGAGTCAAATTGATACAAATTAAAATAATACACGTAAATTAATAACACAAAATAAGAGGAAAAATGTACTTTCCAAATATTCACCCATAACTACATTCGTATCGTAACTTTTACGAAACTGCCACATAGTGCAAAAGCCCAGTGAAAAAAAAAAAAAAAAGTCACGAGTTCCTGTTGGCACATTTCATGATGTGGGGAAGGGTTGACAGGAGGAATAGAAATGACATTCAGGTGTCTCAGCTGCGATATGTGAGAAGTGTGCATTAAAAACCGAATTTGTTGTAAACTTTGTGCATAGCGCGTGTGCTGGAAGGTTAAATAGAAAATACATAGCTGCCAACAGTCCCAGTTTTCCCAGGAGACTTCCAGTTTTTCATCACATCTCTTGGTCTCCCTCTAGATTTCAAAATCTCCCAGTCTTTAATTTTTAGCCTTTACTAGAAAACTATTTCCCAATAACAAGTAGAATTTATTGAATTAAAGGAACTGAAATTGTGCAGATTCCATTTCTCATTCAGAGTGATTTTCATGGTAATTCTTCTTAGTAAATTTTATTTGATCTGAAGTGTCTCATTCTACTGTAAACATTTGTAGAATTTCTTAAAATGATTCAACTAGTGTTTAATTAGTTAATATTTGTATTTAATTTTGTTTTGCATCAATATATGGCATATTACTGAGTTCATGTACTCAATAATAAATAAATAAAAGTAATGTTTAATGCACACACAATATGTACATTAATTATTATTTTATTTGTATGTAAACGTACTTTCATAAGTGAAAGCTTTTCTTCTCTTCCCTACTAAAGATTTTCTTAGCATAAAAATGTGAATGAAAAAAATAACCAGATAATGAAATTAGTTAAAGAATGTAAAATTTAAAATATCTAATTAATATATTTTATTTCTGAATTGTTGAGTAACCTGAATCATTCATTATAAAATGATTTTAAATCAGTTTGGAGTTCACTGAAATAGGTCTGCCATGTAGCATGAAAACCTCCAGGAAGCTTCTGTTTTTTACACGAAAATTCCCCCTTTTTTTAACTACTTCAAGGATGGCAGCTATAAATGAAAGAAATAAAGAGAGGAAGGGTTTTAGTTAAGATTTTGTTAACAGTGAAATATATGTAAGTGTATTATAATATTTTAATTTGATTTGTATGACTTTATGATATGATGCATGTGACTTGAGAGATATGTGTGACTGCAGTATTTTTAGGAGACATGGTAGTAGGAAGTGGAACTCTGAGTGGGAAAATTAAAATAACTGATTTGAGTATAAATAAAATGATAGATAAAGAAAGTTGTGTATAATAGAATGAATTTTATATATCAAGAGCACTGGAATGTATTGGTAAGATAATTTAATTTATGCATTCTTCAGGGTTAACTGTATCCTTGTGTATTTGCCGTAATGTTTCATACATTTAATAAAAATTAATTTTTTTAAATGAATAAGTTGAATGATAAGTTCAGGTTTGAACTACACTAAAATACACATGCTTTTATCTGTTAGTAGTTCTTCAAAAATACTGTGGTGATTATCAGATATTAGCCATCGAGCAAAAATGAAAAATTTGCTTTTCTTAACACAGAAAGCTAAATGACATGAGATTCTTGAGCTAAATGACATGAGCTTTGTGTTATCATTTGCTTATTTTTAAAAGAATAGTGATAATACCATCTTTTAACCATCTTAGTACTACAGGTTTAGCCCTAAAATTTCAAAGTTCCTCAAAGTATCATGAATAAATGGTATTTTATTGATTGTAATAAGAAAAAAAAAAAAAAAAAAACCACTCTCTCACTTTATATCTTGATTCATTTTCTTACATCCAGTCCGAAATCAGATGCATTAAAACCTGGCAGAAATTTTTACGTGTAATGAATAAGAAAGCCACTTTGCTATACAGAATTTTACATCCATAACACTGAGAGAGTGAATTCTGAACGTCCGACAAAATCTTTTCCTTTTACCACAAATGGTTGGGCTGGTATCTTGTATCTAGCTTTAGCATTATATTTTTACAAAATCTGTTATCATATCACAGAGGTTTTATAAAACGTCTAGCTTTTAAAATCCAAATTGTAATAAGAAAAAAAAAAAAAAACCAATTTCTCACTTTATATCTTGATTCATTTTCTTACATCCAGTCCGAAATCAGATGCATTAAAACCTGGCAGAAATTTTTACGTGTAATGAATAAGAAAGCCACTTTGCTATACAGAATTTTACATCCATAACACTGAGAGAGTGAATTCTGAACGTCCGACAAAATCTTTTCCTTTTGCCACAAATGGTTGGGCTGGTATCTTGTATCTAGCTTTAGCATTATATTTTTACAAAATCTGTTATCATATCACAGAGGTTTTATAAAACGTCTAGCTTTTAAAATCCAAAATTTCCCTTTTACTTGCACTAAAGTTTCATTTACACCACTATGAACTACCTTTTAATGACAGTTAAAAATAATTATTTGGCAATATTATAGGTTGAATTTCATCTACATGTAACAAAAATTTTACTAATCTACTTCAATCTCGTAAATAACTTTTTTAATATTATTGGAGTTAACTCAACCATTTTGGAAGTTTGATGCAATGTGTTTTTTACAGTTAATGCTGTTTGGTTCTGCAAAAAAATGCTCAGTTTTTAATAACTTAATCCAATAGCACATAACATTGCAAATTTTATTTTTGGTCACAGCACCAGTCACTCTATTTTGTGACTTTGGATTGTTTTGTATACATGATGTTACTCTTAAAAATTTACCTAATTCACCAAAGTTACTATCTTTAACACATGTTATAAAAGTTGATCACTGATCACTTGGTGGTTCTGTAAGTTACTCCCTCTTCAATGGTATCTGCTATGTTACTATGTTCATTCATTTTAGACCAATTTATTTCATCTTGATGGAACCATTGAGGTTTACACCATCACGTTTAATCTAGTGCAAGCCCACTTACTGTAACACCTTGCAAGATTCTGTCAGCATTCAGCAGGATCATCTGATCCAGGACAATGATGCCACATTTTTAATGATTATGTTTTATCTTGAATTTCAGACATGTGATTTTGTACAAGAGTTTTCCATCGCTTGGGGGGGGGAGTTCTTTATTCAGTGATGCACAATGAGAGAATAGGTCCACAAATAAATTTTTGCTTGAGGAAAATGCACGTGAACTGTAGTTATCAATTGTGCACCTAACACTTGAGCACTTGCACCCATGAGTTCAAGTCTTGGTAAACATAATTTGAAGGAAGCCACTCTGCTCTGTTCAATTACTAAAATTGCCCTGGAACATTTAAATGGAATTTCACTTACACAGCTGTAAGCTGCCCCACAAGTACTTTGAGATGAATCACAAAATCAATGTAGTTCCATCACTTCAGGCATTTCATTAACATTGTAAAAACACCAGTAAATACCAGCAAGGTGTTTGGATATTTGGTAGATCACATACTTGCCTATACCATTTAGACAATAAAACTTTTGCTTGAATCATAACATGGAGCAAAAAAATCCAGCAGAATTGAGGATTTTTGAAGCAGCTTTCAAAACATAACACTTTGTTTGATCATCTGGCATGGTAAAATCTATAACATCTTCAACATTAAAACAGAAGATATCCTTATTAGTATCCCACTGAAGCCAAGGATCTTTGAGGGATAATCTCAGTCGGGTACTTTAAAACTGAGGAAGTTGTTATTTGATTTATATTGTCTTTGTAAACTATTTGAATTAGAATTCCATTTGGTTGATTGAGTTATTGATGCCTTTTTTATTATGTTATTAGCTTCATGATATATGTGTGCAGCTTTTCCGTCCATATTTAATCCTCAATTAAAATCATCAACATATGTGAAGTTCTGTAGCATTTCTACAGTTCTAAGATAAATATTTTCTAATTTATTT